GCAGAACAATTAATATGTTAATCAAAATAAAAAAAAAAATAGATTTCTCACGGCTCCTTTCTCATGCACGCGCTAATGCATCGTACTTTATATACTGTACACCCGCAAATTTTTAAATAGATCGCTGACGATTTGGGAGTTATTTTGCCTGCAAATTTTGTCCGTTGCATCTGAAGTCCGTTGATTAGGGGTCCGTAGATGAGAGGCTTGTCTATTATATATATATATATATATATATATATATATATATTGTTTAAAAATATGATTCCTTCGCTACATAAGAGTTCTCATGTTTCAAAAACGAGAGCCGAAATCATCCAAATAATTATTAAAATTAAGTTGAATTGAGGTGTTTAGTCTCGTTTTATCTTCAAGCGAAATATTTTCTGCATACCTCCGCACTTATATATATATATATATATATATATATATATATATATATATATATACTCACTTTTGTTTATTTACATCAAATTGAATCAGATCATATCCATAGGCTTACCTGATTTTTCGTTAACCATATTCAGAAGTTTTTCTATACCTAAAAATTTAAAAAATTTGCTCTTGTATATAAATACTTGTCACAAAATAAAATGCTTACATTTGCCTTGATAAAGTCTCTCACACAACGAAACACGTCGTCTAAGATGAATTTGTCATTTTCTTTTCTTTCATATTGTCCTTTTTTTGATATATTATATCTGAAACACACACACACACACAAAAATACACCCACCCACACACACAAAACACAAATGCACCCATACAAACACACGCACACACACACACACACACACACACACACATATATATATATATATATATATATATATATATATATCTGTGTGTGTGAGTGTGTGTGTGTGATAGGATAAGGAACAGATAGGAGACGTTTATAAATCTAACATGTTTCGCTTATATTAAAACTTCATCAGAGAATGAAACGTGGAGGAGAAAAAGAAAAACTAACTCGTATTACACAGAAACAAAACTAGTCATTACTTCGATTTTATAAATGTCACCTTAATTAGATAATAATATAATTCTTTACACAGGAAATACTTCGAGGGATTTCTGATAAATATTTTGCCATCTACAAACAGACGTCAAACACACTTTATTATCTATCTATATTTCAGAGATGTGATATTGTCACTATTTACACTATTTTCACCGTTCACCGACTGTTGTCTTCATCTTTATTGTCATATTCACGACGTTTCGGCCCTTGTACGCTACGGTCTTCTTCAGGATCTGTCTATATTTCAGAGATGAGGTATTGTAACTATTTAAACTGTATACGTCTTTCAGTCTGTTGTCCTCATCTTTATTGCTATATTTACGACGTTTCGGCCCTTGTACGCTCCGACATTCTTCAGGGTCTATCTATATTTCAGACATGAGGTATTGTAACTAAACTGTTTACGTTGTTCGGACTGTTGTCTTCATCTTTACTGACATGTTCACGACGTTCCGACCGTCGTACGATCCGGCCTTCTTCAGGTGATATTATTTGGAATTGTGAACCAAACTATTTGTTATACCGCCAGCTTTTATTAAAAATCACAAATTAAAGAATCTAGGATATGTCTACCAAAGTGTAAAAATAGATTTTAATGCCATCAATACATTTTTTTGTGAAAAATTATTACCAGCAATGAATTTTTGAAGAGAAAATGATTTTCAGCAATACATTTTGAAAAAAAATTACCAGCAATACAGTTTTGAAGGAACAAAATATTACTAGCAATACATTTTTGAAAAAAAAAAATATTATCAGCAATATATTTTTGAAAGAAAAAAATTAAGGCAACAAAAATGTTGTCGGCATTAAATAACCCATTGAGGTTGATATGCCGTAAAACAAAATAAACCAAACCAATCTAAACCAAAAATACATATTCTATTCATATGAATCTATCCTAAAAATGTTCTCGGCATTAAATAACCCATTGAGGTTGATATGCCGTAAAACAAAATAAACCAAACCAATCTAAACCAAAGAATACATATTCTATTCATACGAATCTATCCTAAAAATGTTGTCGGCATTAAATAACCCATTGAGGTTGATATGCCGTAAAACAAAATAAACCAAACCAATCTAAACCAAAGAATACATATTCTATTCATATGAATCTATCCTAAAAATGTTGTCGGCATTAAATAACCCATTGAGGTTGATATGCCGTAAAACAAAATAAACCAAATCAATCTAAACCAAAAAATACATATTCTATTCATATGAATCTATCCTAAAAATGTTGTCAGCATTAAATAACCATTGAGGTTGGTATGCCGTAAAACAAAATAAACCAAATCAATCTAAACCAAAGAATACATATTCTATTCATACGAATCTATCCTAAAATGTTCTCGGCATTAAATAACCCATTGAGGTTGATATGCCGTAAAACAAAATAAACCAAACCAATCTAAACCAATGAATACATATTCTATTCAAATGAATCTATTCTAAAAATGTTGTCGGCATTAAATAACCCATTGAGGTTGATATGCCGTTAAACTAAACAAGCCAAACAAAATACACACGCATGTATATATTCTTTGAAATATATTGTTTTTGCTATATTTTGGGGTTAAAAGCTCTTAGCAGAGGAGAGTGTGGTTACAGCTAGTGACTGTTGACATTTAAATCAATACTGTATGGCGATTGTCAGTTTAACGCCTCTCCCGGTCTTTTCGACGTTACCCTTGCAATAAGCACGAAGTATAGATAGGCATATATACGAGGTCTGTCTAAAAAATGTGTGAGCTATGCTCGAAAGA